ATATATATATATATATATATATATATATATATATATATATATATATGATTGTTATATATGATTGTTATGCATTATTTATCAATATATTTTTTAACTTATAAATAAAGGTTTATTGAGAGAAATGCTACTTAATGCCACTTATTTTCATCTTTAAATCACTTCTTGGTCTGCTGCCTTCATACAGCTCCTCCTACATGTCTCTGCGTGAGTGCAGCTACAGCGTGCGCTCTCAGGACATTATTACCTGCAGTGTTCCCTCAGTGCAAACTGAACTCGGCAAAAGGGCCTTCTCCTACTCTGCTCCCGTTTCTTGGAATACCTTACAAAAAGATCTGAAGCTCTCGACCTTGACCTCTCTAAGAACCTGTTGGACTCCTGGCAGGGACCAGTGCAGACATGTTCCTGTTTTTAGTTTTCTACATTTGCCTTAGAATCTAGCTGTTTTTTGTTACTTTTCTTTTCTTTTTAGTTTTCTTTTTGTTTAAGCTATCCTATTTGTTTAAAAAAATGTGTGACTTTTTATAACTGTTTATTGTTGTCGCTGTTGTCCATTGTTGTCATCATTCTTTGCTGAAATCAGGTCTCTTGTAAATGAGTCCTCGAGGCTCAATGGGATTACCTGTCTAAATAAAGTTGAATGAAAAAAAAAAAAAAAAGACAGTGTTCCTGTGAGACAGCGCTGAGGGTATAGAAAGTAGCGCTAATCGGAGGCCTCTTCCTGTTTACGCTTCGATCTACTGTAAAACTTAATTTTCTTTCAAGAATGTAAGGAGACATAACTGGACGAAAATGTCACTAAGTTCAACCTGAACTCCGTCGATAATCTGGAAACAAAAAGGTATTTAAAGCAACTCTGGAATAACCTGTTTACACCTTAGTGATCGCAACAGGTACTGTAATGCTAACGTTTTAGCCACTAGCTTGCTGGCTAATGTGAAAAGGTAAAATCTTTTTTTTAGTAAACACAGCTAGCCCACTGAACAGTTTGTTGTCTTCGTCTAGTCAGTGGGGATACTAACTTTGGTTTTAGAGTTAGTTAAAGCCACTAGAAAGTGGTAAAAAATATCAAGTGTCATACTTTTTACTGAGCTGAGATGGTCATTACGACATAGTTATTTTTATTAAACTAAGTTGACGTTAACTAATCACTGATTGTGTATTTTATGTTACACTTGTATTAACATTTGTTATCAGAGGTCGACGTTTTAGTGTTTACAACTGATTTTCTCATTTCATTTACAGACGGAAGTATTTTAATTGTTTATTACGTCGTGCTCATGAGTAAACAGGCAGTTAATTAAACTACATCAGGAATTTAATTGTTCAAAGTGTCCAAGTATTTGTTGAAATTAAACTGTCTGCCTCATATAAAAACTGTTTTTAAGAGTCACAATATTAACAAGTATTTAATTGTGGATTATATTACTATAAATCCGTGCTTTACATCAGATTTTTAGTTCAAACGAAAACATTTCCACATTTATTTTTATTTTTATTAATAATTGTTTAGTTGGTTGGTTGAGAACTTATTCTCATTTATAATTACCATCAACGCTGGACTTGATTAAGCACAATCACAATACAATAAATGTACTCATAATACAATAAAACCATAACTTATATGGAGAAATAGGGAAATTGCAATTATACAGAAACGCATCAAAGTAATTGCAATACATATGACTAGGTTATTAGTCTTACCCTTTAGTTTAGGACATGGATGCTAGAAAATGATAGTCATGTTTTCAAACTAGTGATAAAAATCTGAATCCTGAAATAATAACAAATCTTTCCACTTAGTTGTCATTTGGCTATACCAGAGAAAGTCGTGCAAAGAAAATACATTAGATTATCAGTCCCAATATGTCAAATAAATAATTATTTTATCATATGTATGACAAGTAAAGTTCATAACATCACTGCAGAATGTATCACTGCATTTTACTCAAATATTTACCATCAGGTGATTCTATTTAATAGTAACAGACCTAATATCAAGAGCTCGAACAGTAAAATAAATCAAATTCAGGCAAGAAATATTAACTTGTCCAAAAGGGATTCTCATACTTTAAATATTTCACGAACAAGCATAACAGACAAGGAGCGAATTCAAAACGTGCTTGAAACATACTTATCAAATTTAAATAAACTGTTTGACAAACAATCAGAAAAATCAGCTAAATGAAATGAACTCATTTTCATTGTATTTAATTTTGAACAGTTGTCTCATTGAGGAGCAAATACAGATGTATTGCAGTTGTCCGTCACTGCCACATGCCGTCATATATAAGTTCTGGTTAGCTGTACAGTCTATGTAATCCTCTGCTGTATAGACACCAATTCCCTTCAGTCACAGCCACCAAGTCATTCCCACTTTGTTTGCTAATAAAATGAGAGCATTGTCTCTCTGGGACAGCAGATATTGGGTCAACTACACTGTAGTGAATTGAAATGTGGGAGGGTTACCCATAGCTGGGTCAGCCTGTGATACATTTAGCATACTTTAGTAGTAATGAGGGCAGTCAGATAAACTTCTACCAGAATCTTGTTCAAGATTTGTACTTAAAAAAAAAAAGAGTTGCTTTGCATTGGAGTGACCAGCAACCGCTTTCTGCCTGACTTTTTTTTTTTTTTAATCCAGGAACAAAAACTCTACGAGCTGCCTTCATTCTCATCCTCACCAGCCAACCATGTCGTGCCGGGACATCCACGCTACCAACGCGTTTTCCTTCATCATTGCCTTTGTGTCTGTGTGTGGGATCGTCGTGGCCACATTTATCCCACAGTGGCGTGTGACGAGGCTCGTCACCTTCAACCGTAATGCCAAAAATATCAGCGTGTATGATGGATTGTGGGCCAAATGTGTGAAACAGGATGGATATTCAGGATGTTACTACTATGATTCAGAGGTATTATTCTTTGACATTTTGGCTTCTGTTGTTCATTTTTTTATATTTGGGTGTCTTGGAAATAATTTGTGTATATTTTTGTTTTTTAGTGGTACTCTAAGGTGGACCAGCTAGATCTGCGTCTCCTGCAGTTCTGCCTTCCAGCGGGCCTCATGTTCGGCTCTTTAGCCTTGCTGCTTTGCATGGCTGGGATGTGTAAAACCTGCTGCTGCTCAGACAAGCCTGAACCAGACATTAAAACTACCAGGTGCCTGGTGAACAGTGCAGGCTGTCACCTGGTGGCTGGGACGTTCCTGTTCTTGGGAGGAGCAATTGCCATCGCACCCTCAGTATGGTTTCTGTTCCGCACCAAGGAGATGAACATCAGATATGACAAGATCTTCTCTGATGGCTTTGCTGTGTATGTATCCATAGGCTGCTCTGGAGGACTGATGCTAGCAGCACTGCTCATTTTTATGTGGTATTGTATGTGTAAGAAGCTGCCTTCACCCTTCTGGTTGCCTCTGCCATCCTTGAATGCTTCTCCATCCACCCAGCCTCTCACGGCCAATGGCTTTCCCCCTTCTCCAGTTTATGGTCCACAGATTTTGCCACCACAGTTTCCTCCTACGGTGATGGAAACCCAGCCTTATGTGCCTTCGCAAGGGTACGTGCAAAGTGTGATGGCCCCGGTTCCAGCTCAGGTGTACGTGTCTCAAGTTTCTGCTCATGATGGGTATGGATCAGAGGTAGGGGGCTACGCCCCCTCTCAGAGCTACGCCCCCTCTCAGAGCTACGCCCCC